TGAGCTGGGACCAGGATGGAGAGAGCCATCATCGGAGCCTGCTGGGTGGACAGGCTGTCAGGAGAGCCTTGAGAGGACTAGGGGATCCTTAATGAAGCTGGAGCCCCGGAAGGGCTTCCTGCCTTCCTGTGGGTCAGTCCCTAAGTTGAGGAGAGGACCCTGCAGGGGTCTAGGCCTGACATCAGCTTCTTCTTCACAAACAGATGGAGAGTAGCCCAACGTGAGTCTGGCAGGTGGGGGTCAGGACCAGGTCCTGCAGGGCCCTGCAGCGCCCTGCAGCGCCCTGCAGCTTCCTAAGAAATGTGGCATTTTGCTTTAAGCGCCATGGGAAATCATGAAAGTATGTTAAGTAGGAATGCTGTTCTCCTAATTGTAAATCTTTTGTTGGGGACTGGTCAGTAGGAAGGCCCTTGGGGGAGCCACCCGGCCAGAGGGCTATAGTAGGTGGGTGACCGTGTGATGTGGCAGGCATGCTGACAGCTTGGGTGGGGAAGGGGAAGAACAATTCACTGGTGGCCCGGGGGGATAGAGGAAGGAGGATGCACAGACTGGGGACAGCTGGGGGTCTGTCTACGCTAAACATGACAGGCTAAGGTGTCAGCCCTTCTCACTTCCTGGTGCAAATGGAAGACAATGGGTGAGGCCACTTAGGACAAAGGCGACTGGCCCACCTGTCCTGCCTGCAGTGCATGGAGGTGAAGGAGCAGCAGAGGAAGTTGCTATGATCACACCCTTAATTGAGGCCCTGCTAGGTCTCACTTGAGTTAAGGAACAGCCACCAGGTCCTATCCTGACTCCAGCTCCATGTGGGGCAGAGCAGCTCTGCTTAGGGAGCATGAGTGTGGCCTCACTGTGTTCACAGACCCTCCCTAGGCCCTTGGACAAGCCCAGCCAAGCCCTGTGGCAGTGTCTGGACCCCATGCCAGTCTACCCCACTCCCCCTCATCTCCTCCCTTTTCCCTTTGCAGGCGCTCTCTGACCACAGCGCCTTTGTGTAGGACATTCTCATTTTCACTGCCTGCTGTGCTCTGTAGCTCCCAGCAGGGCTGTCATGTTCCCAGGCCTCACTCAGGCAGCCTCTCCAGAGACCCTCCCAGGTCTGGATTTGGGTTTCCTCTTTGAGCATGGCCCCCAAGTCTAAGCCTTCCTACCTGGGGAGAGGATGTACTAAGTGTCTTTTCTGTTTTCAGGATCAATGTGGTACTCAAATGTCCACTGACGAAACGGTGTCCCTAACTGCCCCTTTCTGAGTGGAGCGTGTGCTTTTTTCCAGTCACCACTGAGGAGAGGGGCCTTTTTCCTCTCTTGGGGGTGGGGAGAAAGGGAATCCCTTTGGGGAAATCAGGCCTCACTGAGTCGTCTGAGTGCTGCCCTGGGTCTGTGGGAGTGGGAGCTCCCCTGAGCTGAGGGGCCTGGTGAGATGGGGAGGGAAGGAACGGCAGAGTGCAAGTGTTTACCAGCCCCGCACCATCAGGTGTAGAGTCCACCCAGTGAGAGTGTTTACCAGCCCGGCACCATCAACGTGCAGAGTCTGCCCTCTGCCGAGTGCGAGTGCTTACCAGCCCGGCACCGTCAGCGTGCAGAGTCTGCCCTCTGCTCAGTGCGAGTGCTTACCAGCCCGGCACCGTCAGCGTGCAGAGTCTGCCCTCTGCTCAGTGCGAGTGCTTACCAGCCCGGCACCGTCAGCGTGCAGAGTCCCGTCCCCAGCCCAGACACGCAGCCCACCGCGGCAGGTTCTCTTCCCCCTCTAGGCTCTCCCCACCTCCTTGCCCCAGTTCCTTTGGGAGTTTTTCTTTTTGCCACATGGCCTCCCCTTTCCCCTCAGGGTTACTCTAGCTATGCATTTTCACCCTACCTTGCACACTGGACCACTTGAGTGTCCCAAAGGTATAGGGGGAGGTAGGAAGACACAGGTGGCTGCAGCTGTGTGCCCGTGGCTGCTGTACAGGACGGGGCACCCCTGGAGGGCATCCTAACGGTAGAGCCATGACCTTGGGCTGCATCCTCCCACTTCTCAGATCCTGTTCCCTCACCTGCCAGACGGGAGCCCAGGGATATTGTGAGCAGTAGGAGGGTAATATCTGGAGAAGCTCCCCCTAAATTAGGAATCAAACAGAAGGGTTCTCACCCTGGCTGGGGGTGATGCCCACTTCCAGGGCATATTATTAGTTGTTGATAAGGACTGAATCTTTCCAGGAGAATTTTGTTCCCTCCCTGCCTTCGCAATAATTGACTTGTGCCAACACTTTTGAAATATCAGTAATTGCTGCACCTGAAGGAGGCTGTGGAGGATGCTCAGGAGACAGAACCACACGGATGGGAGGCAGCGGCCACTTCCCAGCTGCTTCGTAAGGCAGGTGGCCAGGCTACACTAGGGTTTGCCATGGGGATTCATTTTGAAATGGCCTAGAAGGCAAAATTACTTTAAATGTAACTTTAGGAAGAGAAAATTCTATTCCGCTTGGTCAGCATGATATAGCCATTAAAATGCTGGTTTTACTCCTCTTTGAGCACTATCCTTGAATAATTTATGGCTTCACCAGGGCTGTAAGCTTTTGTTGAAATAAAATAATTTTTATTAAGAGTGAGTGTGGATCTCACTCAACTATTTCTAGGGAGTTGGGGTCCCTCAGCTGTCCTGGCCTCATTATCATGGTGACCAAGGCCATTTGCTCCTCCAAGACCAGTTTGGTGCCCAAGTATTGGTTAATGAAAGTGACACAGTGGTCACTCTGCTCTTCAGGCTTTTCTATTTCTTCTGCAACATGGAAATAATTTGAGTATGCCTTGGAAAGCCCTCAGCCCAGCTGTCAGTGAATTTCTGTTGCTACCATCTCAGTCGAAGCCACCCAGCTTCAGGAACTCCCTCGGGGACAGGCTTTGCTAGGTGCAGTACTCGGTCAGAGTAGGTATTTCTGTGCCCATTTTATAAGAACACTGGAACTAGGACAGGTGAAATTATTATCTAAGGTTGTGCAGTTAGCTAGAAGTAAATTTAGAGTGTCAGCTCTCCAAGTCTGTTAGTCTGACTTTAAAACCTGGGCCATCGTATGTACGTTACATCTTAGTTTTGCTATAGAAAACTTGCTTTTTAGCAATTGTCTCAAGGCAGCAGTAAAGAGAGGTTGGGTGAGCCACAGTTAAATCTGAAAAATGCGCACAACTTTTATTAGAAATTGTTGGATAGACTCAGGAGAAACAAAGCCTATCTCCTATAAATCTCCTGTGCTGCTAGCCTACCTAAGTTACTTCATGACAATATAAGCCACGCATCACTTAATGCCAGGGATGTGTTCTGGGAAATGTGTCATTTGGAGCTTTTGTAATTGTGTGAACATCACAGAGTGCCTGCACACAGGGCCTCTTGGCTGCTGTGCAGCCTGCTGTCTCACGGGGTGCTGCAGGTGGTCGTGACACAGCTGTGTCTAAACACAGAAAATGTGCAGGGAAAACAAGATGTTACGATCTTACAAGACCATCTGCATGTACATGGTCTGTGGTCAGCATTTGTTCCATATATGTTCTATAAATACTGATCTGCAGAGAAGCGTCACCAGAGGGGCCGGGCAGGGAAATGTTTTGTGGAACACAAATGTGTGTGTGCATGTGTGTAAAAGGGCTGTCTGGAAAGTATCTAGCCATGCACGTCTCTGTTTTTTGTATTACATGGCTGGACACTTCCTGGGCAGCCCGTGTGTGTATTTATTCCAGGGCTACATTAGTCAAAAATTGTGAGGTGTTATTTTTATTATTATTTGTAGTGATAGAGTTTCACTTTATTGCCCTTGGTAGAGTGCTGTGGCATCACAGCTCACAGCAACCTCCAACTCCTGGTCTTAAGTGATTCTCTTGCCTCAGCCTCTGGAGTAGCCTGGACTACAGGTGCCCGCCACAATGCCTGGCTAAAAAAATCATGAGGTTTTATCCCTTTAGTGAAATGATGTAAACAAGCCCTTCAGATTTATACCCTAGGAAAGTTAAAGTTACCACACAGGGAATGCTTAATAAAAATCGCTCTTTCCTGCATGGGACTTTTAGGCTCCAAATGGTAGAAAGCATTTAACTGTGTAAACGCATAAGAAAGTGAGAGCCGGGGAACCGTGGCTAAGCCCCATGGTAGAAAGTCCTGTGTCTTTGCTTCCCCTCCCTGCTGTCCCCTCCTGTGATCCATTCCCTGTAGATCAGTATTTATAGGACATGTCAGATGCTGGGGAACCTGAGCTCTGCCTATGTGAGGAGGAGGCAGCTAGTGCCCGGAGGCCTCTGTTGGGGGACTGCGTGCTGGCACATCTTTCTTAAAATAGATTTATGTCGATTTATATATTTGTTTATACATCTATGTATTTCTATATAGTATATTTATATATATATGTATGTATTTTTTTAGGTATATGTGCATTTGTATAGTTAGCTAGAGACCTGTTTTCCCCTCACATGTGTGGAAAGGCCTGGCAGGCAGTGCTCCTAATTTATATGTATAGTATGTGTATTTTGAAGTACGTATCAATGTGTGCATTTATTTAGGCTATATAGTCTAAATATGCACATTTGCTTTGCGTTTCTCTAGCCATGCCTTGGCTTATGCCCTGTGTATGAGTCATCCCAGACAGACAGACCATGCTGCACTGGTTCTTGAGGGCAGGGACTCCACAAGCCTGAGGCCCCTGGATTACTGTCCTCTGATCCAGTGAGAAGACTCTGGCTGCCCCTGCACTGCAGGTGTCAGGGGTGTTTGTCCCCTTGGCATTTGGGAGAAGCAGTGCCCAGCTAGAACAGGGCAGAGAGAATTTGTTGCTGCCCCAGAGGACAGGGGATGTGGGAGCCCATGGGACCGAGTGGCAGCATGTGGCTGAGTGCCTTCTTGAAGGGTGCAAGGGAAGGCAGGGGGCGCTGGATGCAGGGCAAGCCCGAGCAGAGGCCAGCTTAGGGGAATGCACCTGTGTCCTGCCGATCGGCCATGTGGTTCCCCTAGTAAGCACTCTGCCTTCTTTGGGTTTCAGGTCCAACCCGAAAGATGCCCTCCAGTGCCAGTGCCGTGGACTTCTTCCAGCTGTTTGTCCCAGACAATGTCCTCAAGAATATGGTGGTGCAAACGAACATGTATGCCAAGAAGTTCCAGGAGAGGTTTGGGAGTGACGGGGCGTGGACAGAGGTGACCCTGGCAGAGATGAAAGCGTTCCTGGGCTACATGATTTCCACCAGCATCTCCCATTGTGAGTCCGTCCTCAGCATCTGGAGCGGCGGCTTCTATAGCAACCGGAGCCTCGCCCTGGTCATGAGCCAGGCTCGCTTCGAGAAGATCCTCAAGTACTTCCACGTTGTGGCCTTCCGCTCCAGCCAGTCCACACATGGCCTCTACAAGGTCCAGCCCTTCCTGGACTCCCTGCAGCACGGCTTCGACACGGCCTTCAGGCCTTCCCAGACCCAGGTGAGGCCGTTTGAAGAGCACACTTGGGGGGTGCCCTGGGCTCGCTCTCATGGCCTCGCCATGGCTGTGGCAGGACGTGGGGGTGTCTTTTCCTGCCCTGCCTGTCCTCTGAAGTTGTTTTGTGGTCACCTCTGCTATTTATTCTTCTATTCCATCAACCCATAAAATCCAAATTAAATCAGAGGGTGTTAACAGTAACAGCTGCATCCCACAGTCAGAATGCAGTCCTTTTGCTTTGAGGTAGAATTTCAGGGTGGGGAATTTCTCCCCATCCTTCCTCTGCTTTAATTACACTTTCTTTCCAAGTTCTATTTTGCTCAGACTAATGTTAGATTTCTAACTGTATGCTCTGAGCATGTTTTCCTCTGCAGCTAGTGAGTCGGAGCTGAAAGGCTCTGGGTGGCAGAGAGCATAAGCCTGGAATTTAAGCTGTTTCCCAGGTAATGGGGTCACTTGTGTGCTTTTGGACGAGGGTTTAGATGAGCCCAGCTTTGCTGTTAGTGTCTCCCTATACCTTCCCCAGCCTCCACACTCCAGAAGGTGGCTCCAGCTGTTTTCAGCTCCCTCTGCCTATACCTGTGGCAGTCACACCACCTGGCAGTCACACTGAGGCAAGGTGGAATTCCAGAAGCTTTCTCAAAGTTGCTCTACTGGTGCAATAAACTGAAGAGCTGCTTAATTTCTAGAAATTTCTCTAACCCAATCCAGGAAGTTAGCCCATATTAGCCTGATTTCCTTTGGCCTATGCTGTATGAATAAAAAAGTGTACTTTTCTTTTACTTATTAACATACATTTCAAAGCCCATCTGTGTATCTGTTCACCTTGTGCTTTTCCTTCTAAGTGAAACTTCTGTGCTTTCAAATGTTCCCTAACTCTGTGTGGCACCTTCTTCCCCACTCAGCTAAAGACAGCGGGGGTTCTGTGGAGGAAGGGATTGCCCTGTTTCAGTCTGTGGGATCCTGTGAACGATTTCTGAGTAGTTCTCCCTGCTGGGGGGTGAACCTGCCAGGCTCCTATGACTTGTAGGTGTTTGCATCACAGTTTCTGGCCCTGGAATGCTTTTTCCCCTCCTCTCTGCTTTGCAGGGTGACCCGATCTCTAGGGCCCAGCATAAGGCCTCCACGGCTCTCCTGTTCAATTCTCGCCACCATTTATATGGGGTAGCCAAACCCAGGGTGTCTCATCTACCTACCTGTGTATCACTTACCTTCCTAACAAAAGCTGGAGACTTTTGGGGGACGTGAGCCCTGCCCCGTAACAGGCCCTGTGGTGCCAAGGAAAAGCCTGAGCACTCCGTCTTTTGTTCCACTGACTACTTGCCTGATGGTACAGGAACCATCAGAGCCATGTTGGCTAGACACAAGGGGAAAAAATCCTAACCTGATCATCCTTGGGTGCATACATTTGAGAAGTTGCTGCTACAGGCTCTGGGCTCACTGTGCCTCAGCAATAGCCAGCTACTTGGGTGGCTGCTGTTTAACAACCTGGAGATAGGGGTGCTGGCGGTCCTTCTATGCAGGCCTTACACAGAGTCATAATCACAGATGTTGAGTGTCTAGTGTGTGTGTCCTGAGTCACAGTGCCTAAACACAGTAGCTTAAACTCAAGATGCTCGCCACACCTCCCTGGCACACTGGCATTCGGAGTTTGTGGGCTGTCCCTCTGCAATCCCCAGTCACAGGGGCCCTGAGGAGAGGCCCAGCCACATCCCTGAGCCAACCTGGGCAGGCAGCTCTGTGGGTGGGTGGATATCTGGGGAAGTGACTCTGTTCTCCTTATTTCCATGGCTGCTCAACTGGGTGTGCTGGGAACACCAGGATCAGGGAGGACCTGGAGAAGTGGGCGTCGTCTGCTGCTGTGCACATCTGTGCGTGGCTTCCAGCCCATGAGGCTCGGGGGTGGTGCCAGAGAGGTGGCCCAGTCTGGGGGGGGCTCTCCAGCCATCCAGTTTTCTCTAAATCACCCCATTTTTTAATTTCTTGTTTTTTACTTTGTATTTGATTTTTATTTTACCATTGGACTTGCAAAGTTGTGTTTTTTTTTTTTGCTCCGTTTTTTGCTCAGCGTTTCCACCCTGTGTTGGTCAGGATCCCAGCAACAAACAAATGCCGTGCTCTAGAAGGGCAGGTGGTGAGAAGGGAGCACAGAGGCTGTCGCCAGCAGTGTGATCAGAGCAAGGGGAATTAGGGGGTGCATCACCGGGCAGGCTGCAGTGGGCAGCTGGGAGCCACCTGGGAGCAGAGAAGGCTGCAGCCTGGGGAGGGGCCTTGGGGCCAGTAGGCAGAGAGCCAGGTGCAGATCCCTTCACCTCATTCTTACTCTGTGACCTTTGCTGAGGCCTCTCTCTTGAACCCTAAGCCAGAAGTTAGAGGCAGAGGCTCCTGAGGGGGCAGGTTATAACACTTGGTCTCCAAGCCATGGCAGGGGTGAGGGAGAGTAGCAGGCCTCAGGATGAGCGGCACATACTCAGTGCCCTCCAGCAGCCTGAAGCACCAGGCCTGTAGACCAGCCCTGTCAGCAGGTGGGGAGCAGGGCAAACCAAAGGATGTGGATCCTGACTGCAGAGTGTGATTGGGTGTTGATGCATATGACTAGGCCTTCGTGGTTCCTGGGGCTTCCTGCATGTCACTGGGCCCCTTTCTTTCCCAGTGCAGCACCGTGTCTGCTAAGGAGCCAGCGGGCTGGGCTGAGCCTTCTCCCGGCATCAGGCACATCATGCCTGGCTCTTCTGTGCCTCTTAGAGAAGGAAGCAGGTTCATGTCTTGATACTTGATCAGAGAAGTTAGAAGTGCTAAAGATTTCCTGGTTTCCCTGCTTTACCCCTCTTTTGGGAGCTCTGGAACACTCAATTCAAAGAGAAGTGGTGATTTACTTGTAAGTTGCCATTGGCTGCCTGCGAGCCGCAAGGTCCCCAAGAGACCCTTCATTTCCACCTGTTGACACCAGTTGAGATGATCCTTTCCCCGGGGCTCTCACTGGATGTGTGTAGCTGGATTTGCCCCAACTCCTAGGGCTCCCTCTTACACAGTCACTCTGTACTTCACCCCAGATGCATCCAGGGTACACTCCCCTAACAGACTCAGCACTCTCACCTCTGCAATCCCAAGAACCTTTTTATTCCATGAGCCTTTGGTATGAGTTCAGTTTTACAATGTCCTCAGAGAACTTCCAGAATCTGACAGTAACCAAAGCAGCTGCACTCACACATGTGTGTTTACCTACGTATAAAATGGGAGGATGCTACATTTCCTCAAAAGTAGAGCCAGATCAATTGAAATATTTTGTGGAGGGATTATACAAACAAACAAATGGATGTTTTGTCTTTCCCTTATCGTGCATACCACTTGCCACAGCCCAGAATAGCTTGTCATATGCAGAAGGGGACTCAGAACACATAGCTGGGTAACAGACGAGCACTGACCAGCCTGCAGCCTTGAGGAGGCTGAAGTGGTTTATCTGGAGTTTTCGGAGCTTTGAGGAGGGTGCTGCTCTGAGTGCTGCATTCAGGAACAAGCCATTCATAGTTCATGTGACAGTGATAGAAAAGGGAGAAAAAAAATCATTGAGGGTTAAAAATGCCTGCTGACCTTTGTTCTTTGATGAGGCATGTAATTAATTTGCAAGTGATGGTCTGTCCAGTGTGAATGGAGCCAAGGTGTGTTCTATTTCTGAAGAGGAGGATGGGAGAAGGCAGTTTATTGTGGCCTCAGAGGGAAGAGCCGGATGTGTGTCTCTGGCAGGAACAATTGGGTAGGGAAGGACCTCTTTATACCAGGTTTTCCCTTCCCCATCCACTCCCATTCCCTTTCCATGTATGGGGCATGTCCGTTTCACTGGAATTGTTCCACATGGGATTTTGGATGTTTTATGAGTTACCAAGAGGCAGCAAGTGTAAAAAGCCAGACATGAGGGCCCTGGGAGGCACTGCAGCCAGGCCAGCTCCCTAGCACTCCCCTTCCTGTGCAGGGGCAGGTAATGTCCCCAAGCTGCCAACAGTGAAAACTAAAGGGGGGCAGGTGTGCACGACTACCACCAAACCACACGGCCATTACTTTTTAAAAATGGAACCGGAAGTATCATTAATAGAAGAATGGAGGGACACTGTCCACATCACAGATGGTAAGTATCACCCTCTACTGTGTCCTGGGAAGACCACGTTTGACATCACCTGGGAGCTTGCAGGAAATTTACAGTCTCAGGCCCTGTCCCAAACCTGCTGGATCAGAATCCACATTTAGCAAGATCCCCAGGTGATTAGTCTGATGTTCAAACTTTTTCTGTGAATGACCACATAGTATTTTAGACTTTGTAGGGGCTGTATGATCTTGGTTGTGTCTTGTCGATTCTGTCATTGTAGCCCCCAAACAGTCACAGATAATATGTAAACAAATGAACATGATGGAGTTCCAATAAAACTTTATTGACAAAACAGGTTGTAGGCCAGAGTAGGCTGTATTTACTGACCCCGATCTAGACATCATGCAGAGTTCTTGGAAGCATGTGATTTCCTACTCTCTTACTTCAGTTAACCACAGACATAAACTCTATTTTATAATTAAGCTTGAATAGGATTAGGTAGGGGAAGGTAAGGTAGCACATTCCTAAAATTTACCAGAAAATTTTGCCAAAAACCTTTAGCTTGAAGAAATAAAACTTTGATCAGCCCTTATTTTTTATTTTGCCATTTGTTTTTAGTTTGTTGTCTTGTCAATAAAAAAGTGACATACCATGTTATTGGTAAGTTGAAGCAGATGAGATAAGTTTAAAAATTGCCCTGGGAATCTTGTTAGAAAGGGCATGACAGCCTAGGGGTGGTGTCACAGCAAGGCAGCAGGGAGCTGGATCAGCTGCTGAATGATTTTTGAAAAGAGGATGTTCAGTCTGGGAAAAGGAGGTTGTGGGCTGACATGAGAGCTGTCTTGAAAATCTTTTACATTAAAAGTATCTTTTCTTTGCTGTTTCTCTCCAGCAAAGTCTGACATTAGATACAAGTACATTTGGCATCAGGGAGGGGAAGAACCTTTGAGCAATTGGAGTTGTCAGTCAGTGGAAAGGGATTACTTGGGAAAAAGTAGGTGTCCCCACTGGACATGTCAGCAAAGGGCCCCTGCCAAAGACCCTCAACCAGGTGAGGGTCAGGACCCCTGCCAGAGACCCTCCACCAAGTGAGAGTCAGGACCCCTGCCAGAGACCCTCCACCAAGTGAGGGTCAGGACCCCTGCCAGAGACCCTCCACCAAGTGAGGGTCAGGACCCCTGCCAGAGAC